ATCGTATTCGAACGACACATCTCCTTCACAGTGTGTGGATCTCAAGAGCAATGAAGCAGTTTTCTCATCTCCTAGGAGAAGCTTGCTGGTAGTTACATCTATCAGCTTTGGAGGCAAGTGGCACGATAGATCCCCAAGACGTGTGGGATTAGTACGCGTAGTAGGACAGATTTCATCACCCTGAGCAGGCGCCGCGTAGCACCTTTTTCAAGGAAGGTACTCCTATAGTGCCCTATCAATCTGCGACATACCGAGCCGGACTCCCACTGCGCCTGCCCGCCCACAAACGTTCGACCAATGCACGTATCGTTTATTTGCGAAGTACAATATGAAGTGAAGGGATTGATATGAAGCGGCTGCATGAATACATGAGTGCATACATGCAGCCGTATATCTATCGTAGCGGTTATTGGCACAATGAAACGGAAAACTCGTCCGAAATTGCCCTCTGAGTCGTATGGAACAAGAGGTTTTGTCGCTGTTCTTCTACCCTTTCACTAAGGTTTTTTGCCATTTCCCCCACTATATATTCCCCTACGATACTCAGTTTCTCTGAGCATCTACTTATTGCTTGGTAAGGTACGTATTGAAAAGCCCCTATGACTCTTTAAACCGACTGATCAAAACCCATTTTTTGGTTTCGTGCAGAGATACACTTACTCTTTTTTTACGGTGACATACATTATTGCTAATACTATTTTAGGCAATGTACATAGTGGCCTCTGGCAATTTGAAGATCACTGACCTCAGCTGTGTCACATTGAAAACTTACAGTGAAGGTGACATTGTTGAAGATCGGTCACTTATTTGGCTTCCACACAATCGCTTCAAGAATAGACGAAGGCACAACGTTGTGTCCGTCGGGTATTCGCAGGTCTGAAAATAACTGTTACTGTTGTAATTAATTATGTAACATGACGCGAGTTTGTTCAGATATACATTCTTTTTCGCGATGACTTCCTCGAAGTATTAGAAGACTATCCTGATTGCCGCAAGAAAATACGGGTCCACGGTAAGGATAAAGATTAATTCATGTGAAATACAGTTTTACACCTAAAAATTTACGGACAACTATTAATCGTCATCATTTCTTATTTTAACATCAGTCATTAATTTGCTAAACTTCCTAGATTAGAACGGGAAGTGGAAAGTGGCTGTGTACTGTTGCTATCGGAAGTATTTGCCGAAACGGTTTTCAGAGCATTACTTTTCTCTAACATCGCCAACTCTTTTTAGGTTTTGATATGCTCTATGAACTTTGCAGACAAATAGCAAAGCTAGCGTCAGACGAGGTGCGCGGTGCGCGTTGTTCATCCAGTGTAAGCATCGAGATTTTTGAAATGGCGGTGTCAATACGATGCCTCCCACCGAAGTAAAGTCTCGGTATGACCCCTCTCACCTCTAAGTGTCGGCGTAACGAAAGGGATTAGACACGTAAGTTCTACGTCATCAACGCCGATTTACTCGCACTTGTTGAAAAAAACGAAGGTACCAGAGAGTCCAAACGCTTTCGGGGCCCTGGGAGCGGGTCATTGGTGAAGGAGGGATCTACTTAACTCAAAGCCAAAATATTACTTTTTATCTGGTTTCTTCTTCGTTTTATATGAATAAAATCTTCCGTACTTTTGAAAGGGATAACCTAATAACTGCAAGCACTTGCGGCCGCACTGTGGTTCCAGCGTTGTTTGCAGGATGCAGACCGCGTACTTCTTCAGAAGGTTATAACTTTTCTAGGTTCGATGCTTTTGGGAAACGGTAGGCGGCTCGTCGAAGAGACGGCGCTATTGTTGCGTTGTCTTACTACATACTAATCCTTTCATGTTGAGAAATATCTTGGATTATTCTCCAGCTTCTCTCTTCTTGTAACCTCGGCATGTTAGTTTTCAATAATTCAGTATGTTATATTGTGCCTCACGAGGTTTTTAGGTGGAACTATTTATTTAACGGCCTGACGTTTCGACTAATCGTCTTCTTCAGAGGCCTTTGTTCTACCGTAGACGCGGAATAATCCGCTATTCCATAAGTCAACCAGTAGCGAATCTTCGTGCAGGAATAGAAGATTATGTTCGAACCTGCAGTAGCTGTCAAGAGGCGAATCGCTTCTTGACAGCTACTGCAGGTTCGAACACTTCTATGTCCTTGGTGATATTTGTCCAGTAGACATATGAGCGGGCTAGGCTCTTCATTCTTGCCACTCCAGGATGTCCGTCGCGTAGAAGTTTC